ACTGGTGCGGTTACAAGGTAATTGAGAAACTAAACGTTCTTAGACCCTTATTGCTCTCGTCGAGCAGTTCGTCCAGTGTGCGAAATTTGTTTTCTACTGTTTGCTGCATCAAAACAGGCACCTCCTTCCTCAGTTCTGCAGAAAACAGTTGTTTTTTGACAAATACACGCTTCAGTGAGAGAATGCAGATACAAGCGACATAATTGAACCTTAGTTCGCGCCATTGGTAACTATCGGTTGACTACGTCAACTTTCACTGGATTAACCAACGTGATTCGTACATTTGAAAGGAAGGGTGCGAGTGCCCTGGCTACGTGCCTCACAACACTGCTCACATATTCTGCCAATAACACTTGTTCTGGTTGTGTTTGTGTTCCCTTTCCTCCTAACTCTAGTGATGTGTGCATCATATTCCTTTAACGGTACGTCCGATATGCTTTCTGTCTGTTCTGCTGATGTTATCATTCATACGTATTTCGGCGAGTGCTCAGAATAGGTACGCCTACGGTGCTGTTCGGTTTGGGCGTTCAACGAATTTGACTTTGGATATGCTTGAGTTCCTAGTCCAACCAATGATTATGATAGGTATGTAATGGTACTATTCAAACGGAGTGTGCAATGAGCTGAATGTTGGAGCTCTGATCTCTTTCCCTTTTAATCCTTCAAGTGAATAGGTAAGGTTCAACTTTTCTGACTAGTCCGAGCGGTCAATGTCATTTGATTGAGGAACTGCTTGCGTTCTCTTTCCCTCCAAATTTGCTTACTGGCTTCGTCAGGTGGGTTATCTACATATCTCACTGTGAGTCCTCAATGTGCCTGCTTCTAGATCTGTTTGCGTCCATTATCATTCCTTATCCGATGAGTGGCTAGGTTAGGTACATCAACGGCACTTGTCTGACGGAGCGCCCACTACACTTGCTGAAACATCCATTTGCGTTTTCTTTCCTTCATTTTCTAGCGCGTGACTAGGCCATGCGTGTAAACAAAGTCTGCCTGTTGAATGCATTTTCTTCTTGATCGCCTTAGGTTCTACTTTCATATTTAATTCAGATATAGTTTAAGCACATGAAGCGAACGTCACTGTTACGATAGGGTGCTAAAGCCTTCGTCTCAAGTGTTGTTTCTCTTCTCTTTCCTAATCTAGTGACTGGGTAGGTAAAGCATGCAAACTGTTGAGTGTCAATGGACTTGCTTCTAGACCTGCCTGCAAAATGCGTCAAGAAAGTGTCTTCGATTGGGAAATCCATCAAATTTAATAAAAAATGGCATGCAAAGGCGCATAACATAACACTAGATAATATGCATCTGATATGTGTGTCTACACAACTCGAATTATCTTGTTACACAATTACTGAGATGTTACTTGTTGAGATGCCTGGGGCCAAATGGGCAATTACACGTGTTCATATGCTATGAATGAAGGCTGTTTTGGCATTCTAGAAGGAGTATTACTACATGAAATCCCGCAAGTGTTTGCATCATGTGATGTATAATAAAACGCATCAGTCAAGTCACATTTTGGTATGAAATTTCGGCAAGCGGGAAAATTAGCATGGTAAAGTAGAACAATTTTGTGCAACGTAATGCAAGACTTCGCAAACTATACTGCTACATTTCAAAGCATTTTTGCCTATACATTCAAAACACTTCCTGGAGCGCTTTATGCCCGATCGAGTAGACAATAGTGTTCTTTAATGGAGAAAGACCTGATAGGAACCAATATGTGGTGCTAATGACGACCTGAGTGCTTGTTCGACTTCACAATATCAAAGTGCGTAATGCATAAATATCATCAGAAATGGCCGACTTAGTCAACTTCGGACTGATTTATGTGGTCCTTATTTCGTCGCATTGGCCCATCGATACATATCAGTCAGGCATAAGAACACACAACCTCGTTAAACAAAAGTAACCGCCTAATGACGAGACGACGGCATAAAGGTCAGTAATTAGAGGTTTGGAGGCATTTGCTTACTAAATGCACTGCCAGGATTTGGGCGGCAGGTGCGTTTGGAAAACTGAACGAAATTTAATAATTTGCTTACACGAGTATAACTAAAGAAACGGAACACAGTTTGACATTGGTACAGTGACCATTTAAAACCAGGCTATCCCATGGGCAGATCGAGTACAATTTGGGACACGATATAAGGCGGTGAACTTCGTGAATGGACACTTGACCATCCTGAGGTTTTTAAAGTCCGTCGCCATTACATACAAAACGCCGACCAGTGTTCTTAACTGGCACCGACTGGACACAAATGTTATTAATCTCATAGCTGACGGTGTGGCCCTGTAGTAAAGTTTTTTAAGATTTTCTTCGTACTTAAGTCATGCCCTTTTTCATGGCGGGTTTTAATTCCATCGGAAACTGCGACTGGTTTATAATTCGGTTTAAAAAATGAATAGGCCATTTAGGTGGTCGGGCTAGCTTTCGCAAATAATCGCCGAATAATTAACAAAAGATGTCCAAAGCGTGAATGCACAATGCTAATGCATTTTAGCGAACATAACTTGACATTTATTCATGTATCTCGCAAAAAGGTCGGCGAAATAATATATATTAAGGGGGTTGCTATGCTTGAAAGAAAATTGCATGATATAAATCAGCGTATTTTCCAAAGGCTCCCGACTAAACAATCAGATGTAGGACGGCAGCATGTGTCCTGTCTTACTCGGCAGCCATAAGTGTCCATGACTGTCTTGATCAAACGTCCTTTTAGCAGTATGATAAACTGTAATCACAGTAAACACTTCACTGAAGTTTTGTTAATTTTTCGACTACTTGTTTTTATTAAAGTCGATGGCATAGTTGTCAGGAATATGGCCTGTAATGGGATTCTTTTTAATTTGCACATACTATTACGTTTGCTCCACTAAATTTCCACGAAACAATATTTGACCAGATTTCGATGATTCATCTAAATACAGTCATAAAAATTTTAAAAGGATCTCCTGTATGTTTTGCAGTTATAATCGTCAGTGTAAGGTGCCCAAATGATGACGTCTTTGTTAGTAAATAACAACGTTGAGATTTATTTTTGATATACATTCATACACCTTGGTGTGCTTTAGCATTAGCAAACATAAGGCCTTTAAGTTATAAACGATTTACTTTCTATGCAATTCGGCCGATGTTTATCCTAGACCTCACGTAAAGGACTATATACACTTACATTGTGCATATTTATATCTTAGGCTTTTCTATCAACCATACGTAGCACGTTTCGCATGCGCAAGTAGTTCTAGTCAAAAAGTAAAGAGGAAAACGTCACTTAAATTGGTTAGTACGGTAAACCATACACATAGTTGAAATATATAAAAACTGTATTTTCTTCGAAAGTATTACAACTTCATGGTCCGAATCCACGATGCGCTTCTTTACCTGGAAGTACTAAGGAACAAACTAAATACTCTAGACCATAATATTTTTACGTATAGTCATATAAAAACGCCAAATTAGTTGTGTTTTGAATAATTTTCAATCATATATATTAACTGCATTGAGATGGTTGAACTCTGTTTTTCTGAGTGTATACGAGAAAAAAATACAAACGTAGAAACGCACCTGGTTCATTGTATCTCCCATTGAATAGACAGTAAAGGTTATATCACAGGTTATATCAAAGGAAATAAATATAAATTAATTTTGTATTACACAAATTTTATCAAGAAAACATTACACATTGCACACATTCTCATTAACCAAAATTTAGATTGCATACGTTCCACCTGGCCCATTGAGGTTGCCTTAAACAGTAAGCAGTCGTATGCACATGCCACTAAAATACTTTTTAAGGCGGCCTGTTGAAGATAATCCAATTGAGATAGCGGCCTTTTATCCTAATATTTTTATTCTATGACAACCATATGCATTTATGTCAAGCATGCAATTCCCCAGAGATTGGGGAATCTGAGATTCACAAACGAAATATATTTGTCTGCATACTGTCGTTTAAATAATGGAGGGATGATCAGAAGAAGAAGCGATCGCTGGAACAATGGCTTTATTCGCCTGACGTTTCGGATTCTCTCTTGAATCCATCATCAGAGACAGTTGAAGAAAAGGGTGGCTAGTGTACAGGAAGTCGCAGTATTTATAGGATGCGGTCGCCATTCTACCGCATACCTACAGCAATTAACCGTGCTCCCTTCATCAAGGATTGTTGCCCGCTGGTGCGCTAATTGCTTGATGGTCGGCATGCAAGTTGTTAATTGCTGACATCTCATCACCCGTGTTGGATGCTGGCGTGATGATTGCTTGGCCATCTGGCTCACGTGCTTGCGCGCTCCTCGAGTGGTGAATTGCTTTGGCCAGTCTATGCCTCAGGACAGAATATGGAGTGGGGATGACGTTGCACTTGTTGATAGACGTTGGAGTGCCTTTGAGCGAAACAATGGGCCGGAGAGGAGCGCCCTTCTTGTGCACCTTTGGGAGACCATAGAATCGGGCCAAAGCCGTTTCTTGAGCTCTCGCCATGCGTCGGTCGGTCGCTGTTATTGCACCCGAGTTCTTCAGTGCCAACAGTGTTGCATTAATTTCGCGTGTCAGCGTTTTTATAGGGTTGGTTTCACATGGGACATAGAACTGGCGATTCTATCGTCGCCCAAATGTGCACAATGAGGGCGCTCCTCTCCGGCCCATTGTTTCGCTCAAGGGCACTCCAACGTACGGACTGGCAAGATGGCTGTTTCGGCGCCTTAAATTTCTGACCGCTGATTCGGACACCACGGTCTGTTCGTCAACGCAATTCCTGGAGAAGCTTAAAGGAGTAAGTCTCTTGCCCAATGAGGTCATGGTATCTTTTGATGTCATGTCCCTCTTTACTTCTATCCCCCAGCATCTGGCAATCGAGACCGTCCAGCTACTCCTACGAAACAAATACGATTAAACGGAGAATAGTCTCGGACATGCACAAGTCCTTCAGCTCCTAAAGTTCTGTCTCAGGACGTACTTCACGTTTGACGGAACAATCTACGAGCAAGTGAAGGGAACACCAATGGGCTCGCCGATTTCGGGATTCATCGCCGAGGCGGTGCTACAGCGGTTGGAGTCGCTGGTCTTCCAACACAACAGACCGAAATTCTGGGCTCCGTATGTGGACGATACCTTCGTCGTCATCGAACGGGATCAGGTGCTAACGTTCAAAGAACGTCTCAACAGCGTCTTCCCGGACATCCAATTCACGATGGAGGAGGAAGAGAATAACCAGCTGGCATTCCTTGATGTCCTCGTCTGTCGCAAAGATTGTGGTGGCCTAAAGACCAAAGTGTTCAGAAAAGCAACGAACACGACGCAAATTCTGAACTTCAACAGTAACCACCCAATCTGCCACAAACGCAGTTGCGTAAGAACGCTATTTCGGCGTGTTGAGACGCACTGCAATGAACCGGAAGACAAGGTTGCCGAATCCCAATATCTTCGACGGGTTTTCCGAGAAAACGGTTACCCGCGCAACTTCGTCAACCAGTGCCTGCGCAAACGAGACGAGCGACAAAATTGCGCCGACCCCAAATTCTGGCGAGCGATCACGTATATCAAGAACGTCTCCGAGGCCGTTAGCCGCCTTCTTGCACCACTTGGGTGTTGGAGTTGCGCACAGACCGGAGGCCACCATGGGGCGTCAAGTGATGAGACCAAAAGACCCACTGCCACGGCAAGAAACATCTGGAGTCGTTTACCGGATCTGGTGCAGTTGCGGACAAAGCAACTACGTCGGAGAAACTGGAAGAATGCTCCGGACGCTAATCGCCGAACACGTGGCAGCTGTACGGAGAAATGACGCCAATTCTCAGGTCGCGGCCCATTCGACGAGACCCGGCCACACATTCAAGTTCGATGAGGCCGAAATTCTCGCGAGAGGGGATAATCGCGTGAGCCCTCGCGTTGCTTGAGTCATGGTTCACGGGACCTCAGTCTATCAACAAGTGCAACGTCATCCCCACTCCATATTCTGTCCTGAGGCATAGATTGGCCAAAGCAATTCACCACTCGAGGAGCGCGCAAGCACGTGAGCCAGATGGCCGAGCAATCATCACGCCAGCATCCAACACGGGTGATGAGATGTCAGCAATTAACAACTTGCATGCCGACCATCAAGCAATTAGCGCACCAGCGGCCAACAATCCTTGATGAAGGGAGCACGGTTAATTGCTGTAGGTATGCGGTAGCATGGCGACCGCATCCTATAAATACTGCGACTGCCTGTACACTAGCCACCCTTTTCTGCAACTGTCTCTGATGATGGATTCAAGAGAGAATCCGAAACGTCAGGCGAATAAAGCCATTGATTCAGCGATCGCTTCTTCTTCTGATCAACTAGTTCCTGGAACTCGCATTTTCGCTTGTATCGGCAATGGAGGGATGCCTAAACACCTGCATGGTTTAGCAGTATGTGTGGGCTTGTGAGCGTCTTCTCGCTGGCAGATCCGGTGTCGCATATTTCCTCTTCTTGATTAATTTTAAGAAATGCTCATTTAACCAGACAGACCAAGCTACAAATAAATCCTTATTTAGACCTCATGGCTATATTTAAGTGCTTACGTACAACGCCATCTTTGATGCACATTTTGCCGTGCACCTTTCCACGTACTGCACAGTTAAAGATTTTTAACCCCGACAAGGTCCAATTTTGTGTGTATAAGTGGTTGAATGCAAAGTACACTTCAGTGGCATAATTAAGAAAGGAGAAAGAATTTTCGTCTTTTTGGACAAATGAAGAATAATTTTTCGAAATTTGTGCTATCATCGTTTCACGTATATTGCGTTCTATATCGCAGTCTATAATCCGTATTGCTGCACTGCTCCCCATCTGAAAGTCAATCCACTCTATTTGGCCTCGGTCTTTTTGATACTTTGGTGGGAACAATCTGTTTAGCCTGCTTTCTGCAAAGTCAGCAAGTACCATACCATTTCCATGTTTCAGGCATTACTAACAATCGGGAGATGGCGCTCCAAAAATCTGCCTAACCGCAGCAGCCTGTCTTACGGGATAGGTGGTAATAGGGTTTTTATGGGTGGTGGCTGGTTGGGTTGCCATTGATTGTTATCTGGGGGTTAGATGGATGATAAACTTTGATATCACTTTTAAGATTATTCAGCAAGTATTGGCAGGTTAGGATAACTGTTCTTGATTACGTGTGCGAGATTAGCATTCGATCCAAAAATCTTTGTTAGTCGCAGGATGCTCAATTGGTCAGTTGTTCCCTTATTATCAATGATCTGGACTCCTAGGTATACTAAGACACCGAGTGAACCGATTTTTGGCTGTGTTGCAGACGCTTTTGCGCTATGCAATATTATATGGAAAATAATCCCCGATAATTTAGTTTAACTAGGCACCTAATGATGTACGGAACGAAAACTACGGTTGTGTGCGCAAT